ACAGATTTCCTCGATGCGATTTCCTTTTCTTTGTGCAAAACTTTCATTATGCAGTTTTTGCACCCTAGCACTCAGAAACATAAGTGACGACATTTCCTGCACAGACCCACATGTACACCTGCAGACCAGGAGCTGTGTGCATCTTCAGGTTCAACAAGGCTAAGTGCCAGGTCCTGCACTTGGGTCCCAACAACCCATGCAATGCTATAGGCTTGGGGAGGAGTGGCTGGAGAGCTGCTTGGCGGAAAAGGACCTGGGGGTGCTGGTTGACAGCTGGCTGAACATGAGCCAGCAGTGTGCTCAGGTGGCCAAGAGGGCCAATGGCATCCTGGCTTGTATCAGAAACAGTGTGGCCAGCAGGACCAGGGAGGTGGTAGTGCCCCTGCACTTGCAATAGTGTGGCCAGCAGGACCAGGGAGGTGATAGTGCCCATGTACTTGGCACTGGTGAGGCCGCACCTCGAGTACTGTGTTCAGTTTTGGGCCCCTCACTACAAGAAGGACATTGAGGTGCTGGAGCATGTCCAAAGAAGGGCAACAAAGCTGGTGAAGGGTCTGGAGGACAAGTCTTATGAGGAGCAGCTGAGGGAAGTGGGGCTGTTTAGTCTGGAGAAGAGGAGGCTGAGGGGAGACCTTATTGCTCTCTACAACTACCTGACAGGAGGTTGTAGCGAGGTGGGGGTCGGTCTCTTCTGCTAAGTAACAAGCGATAGGACGAGAGGAAATGGCCTCAAGTTGTGCCAGGGGAGATTTAGATTAGATATTAGGAAAAATTTCTTCACAGAGAGAGTGGTTAGGCATTGGAACAGATTGCCCAGGGAAGTGGTGCAATCACAGTCCCTGGAAGTGTTCAAAAAAAACGTGTGGATGTGGTGCTTAGGGACATGGTTTAGAGATAACCTGGCAGTTAGGTTAACGGTTGGACTCAATGATCTCAGATGTCTTTTCCAACCTTAATGATTCTATGATTCTATGATCTTGAGTCCCTCTGAGTACGCCTGAGCAGCGGTGTAGAAGCCCCCAATGATGCAAAGGAGATCGAGGCAGGATGCTTTTAAGTTCAGCTCTCCAAGGGTCCCAAACCCCTGTGCTCTGCTTCCAGCCATTTGCATTTCACTTGCTTCAAATAATTTTGGAAGAGCAGCTAAGAAGCAAAACAATGCTGCTTGGGGACAAAACATGCATGAACACCCTGCCAATGGTCGTCCCCACAACATGCCTCCCTGCAGGACAGATGGCATGACCCTCCCCGGTCCCAGCCCTTGGCCATCCCAGCAATGCCATAACCCAGCCTCCAACCGTTTCCCATGCGCGTCCACTCCCCTTCTCCCTGCGGGGGTGTGGAGGAAGACAGGTCCTGGGCTGCGGCGTCTCCATAGTGCTGCTCGCTCTCAGCACGGTGGTGCCTCGTACCGCCGCATGCCTTGCATGCCGAAACGCACAGCGCCCATGGTCTGGGTAACAGCGGTGTGAGTCAAAAGGGGCTAGTTATAAGTTTGGATACTACCATTTAAAGATAAGCTTCTCCATGGTTACCGCTCTCACGCAAGGTCACTTTCCTGCCAAACCTCCTCTCCTCCCTCCCTGGCTCTCTCTCCTTCCCCCTCCACTATTTTTTTTTTTTTCCAAACGTGCTACATCAAAAGAGAAAATGAAAACATTTAAGATAATCACAGTCTGACTACTTTAATGCAGGCTGCAGGAAAGGAAACATGTAAGCCAAGTGCTCTCACTGTGCAAGCAGAAACACACTCTCGACCTCATAAATGTAGTATCTGAGAAATAACACTTGATTAAAGCAACCAGTCCTTCATTTAAGTAGGTGCTTATGGTAGGGAAAATATCCAAGATTTCTCTAGAACAGGCCGCTAGCCTATCACGAAAAGCAGGAACAGGCCAGACAGATGAATTATTGCGAGACAGCTGGGTTTCAGCCTGGGTGCGAGGAGATCCCTATTATCCCGTCCACCTTTCTTACACAAATGCCTCTCCCCAGAGAAACCGAGTCATTAAAAGCCAGCTCGTTCACTCCTGACAGGCAATATGCATTGAGTGAGAGGTGATACATTTTCATTTTCAGCAAGAAATCTTAGTCGCCCCAAGGAGCGGCTTGCTCAGGAGAACAGTAATGGAATACGGGGCCTTTCATCTCTGCCTCACCGCTGCGAGCGCAGTCTGGCTCAGTAGCAACCCAAAAGTTATTAGCTAATGGGTTGTTTTGGTGACCTACATGAAATGAGTTTGGTGGGTTTGTTTCAGCTTTCCGTAGATGATAACTAGAACCACAAGTGGTGTTAACCAGAAACCATATTAACGAGTTGAGCGTGTGGCCAGTAAGGACTGAGTGAATTGCCCATGCATAGCTGTGCCATTGCTTTCCCTATCCTTTGGGGCCGAGAAGTGTGAGGGAAGCCCCGCAATCGTCCGGTCTGTTCTGCTGAGACAGGATTCCCAACCCCTAAGGTCCCCACTTTGTCCTCATTTGCACAAGCAATGCGTGTTAAAAAAAAACAACAAAAAAACATCTTAACAACCGTTTCACATTCTTTAGGAGCTCAATAGTATCTAGTACGCACCTTTTTGAGCTGAAAATACCACAAACTTGAACTACCAAAGAGCTTTCCAAAGATTGGGCCCCACAGTCCAGGCCTGCTGACTTTTGAGTGCATCATTTTGCAACTGTAAAATTCCTTTTTTGTAATTAATTCCTCATTTTAACACATTTAGTGAGTGCGGGACAGCCCTACCTCTCTCTGGGAAAACAAACCCCAGCCATCCCTCCTTAATTTCTTCCTGTTCAACACTGCCTGCAGTCCCAACCTGAGCTACCCCAGGAACAGTTATGGCCTATGGAGTCCAGAATAATCCACTGTTAGAAAAGCTCGCTCCCAAGTAAAAATGCAGAATTCACCCTGAAGTGAAGGTGTCTTGAATCCTTATACCACCACCCCCTCCTAAATACCTTGACAATAATTTGTGCCACTTCCTCTGCCACGTTTCAAAAAAAACCTGGCTAAATAGTTACAATCTCAAATCCCAGAAAAATCTAATTCGGGGTGAGAAGCTACCTTTCATCTCTTAAAGCCTGCACAAGTTACAGCACATCACACACAAGCCTGTTCCCATTACATCACATTACTAGATAGGTATCTTTAAAGAAGACATCCACCAACTGCTTAGATAAGAGATTCACTGGGGACTCATTCCCCAAAGGGAATGGATGTAAAGCAGGCAGCAAACCACTGTCACAGCCCTGAGGATGCCCCCATTATTTGCTTCCAATTTAAATTACACAGAAATTAGCATGGGCCCGAATTCTGAAGGAAACAGGCAAGAAGCAGTAAAAAAAGGCGTTGCAGAGAGAGGGAAGGAAGGTCAGGTGCAGCTTGCACACAGATGGCATTTCTTTTGCTGTTGTCAAGATTCAGAATTAGAGCTGGGACATTTTATACAGATGTCATTAACATCCAAAACTGTCAGACTGCCTTTCTTGGAAGGGATCTTTAAGCCTCTTGCTTGAGGCTTTAAATCTCTTACTATCAGTAGCTGATGTGTTTCCTCCCCTAACGTACCTGAGACTGGTAACTGTCAAGGAAAGACCCTCAGGTCTGACCCTATATATCTTGTATTTCTTCATCTTTTCTCCCCCAGATAGAGACACACACACACACGCTCTTCTCCGGGGCAATAGGCAATATCTATACATCACTTAGGAAAGAGCAAAGCACAGCCTGTAAAGACTCAAGCATGTCTCCACAGACTTCTCAACCATTCAGATCTGCCTTCCCCTGAGGAACACGACTAAGGAAAGCCAGAGTGTAAAGCTACTGCTTTACAGCTGAAGCCAAAGTGAGAGGGGGACCCATCGAGTACAGAGGGAGCAACGTTCCTCAGCCTGGGACAGAACGCATTCAGCAGAGCAGGAGCCCAGGGCGTATATCACTGTGACATGTGTGACAGCATACTTTAATTATTACAGAATTAAAACTTAAAAAAAAAAAAACCACCACCACCACCCCCCAAAAAAAAAAAACCTGAGCAGCCTAATTCTCCACAGTAGCAGTGATAACTTAGTGTAAATTAATTTTGCAGATTACCAGAAATTTTTCCTGCAAAATAGTTCTCTGCAGCAGCTTCATTAAATGTGTGTGTGTGTCTATGTATAAATACATATTATTTTTTTAATTCTATCCTTCTCTCCTCCCTTTTTTATTTTGTTTTCATGATGCAGGAGAGCTGTGCCTGGTACTGACAAAACTCTTGTCATTTCTACTGAAATGTAAAGTTCCCAGTCTTGCATTTTCTGGTGATAACCAGCCCATAGATTGCAACAAAAGCAGTGATTTGAATTTTGCATTTTACTGGTCTCTCAGATCACTCCAATGCAGTCAAAGTTATCTGCCCCAGCTCATACGGCATTATCTTTTAACTTAATGGAAGTGAAAGAGAAGCCTGTGCTCATTACCCAAAGGATGCAATTATTACTTCCTCTCTATACTGTTTCTAGTGAAGGATAAAATCCAGGATATGACCTTTTCATTAAGCATCAAGCCAAAATCCACCTGGGACAGCCTAAGGAGGCTACCCTCATCCTTTCACTTCGTAATTCAGAGCAAAGGCCCTTGCCACAGACAGCTGAGAAGAATCCTTGTGAAAGATCAGTTTAAGGAAACATCTAATAAATGTTGATCAATAGATGAAACCCCAAAAGCTTTCTGTCTCCTCCTGGATGATCCCATCACAAAAAAAAGCATCATTAATTTAACACATCGAGCCTCTTCCAACTATCTGTGCAGTGTGAGGTCACAAAAATGACAATAAACAGAGAATACAAGCGATACAATGTATTAGTGCAGTAAAATCTTCAATAGAAACTTGAACTCCAAGAGAAGAATGCATAATAGTGTTGAATTCCTGATATTTTTTGCTTTGTTATGGCAATAACAACTTGCCTTTTGAAGTTCATACAGGGAGACACAATGCCAAAAGGCAAATACTTACAATACAAGAACACTTGGTACATTTATTTCCTTCAGGCCTAAATTCTTCTCCTTCATTGTAATGTCTCCCTTCAAATATACAACCTGGAAAACAGCATTTGAATAAGTTTAGCTCAGGATAGCATGCTGCCTTTTCCCTATAATACACCCCACCATAGGACAATATGAAAAGTAAATCGTACCACCCCCTCTGATACAAATCACTTCAGAAGCCTTTACAAAGGCCTTGAGAACCCCCAAATATCTTTTGGGGGAAAGAAAGCATCCTTCTAGAGCAGATAAATTTGCACTAATGAAGTTAAGGCTAAGTCAGATCTTCGATTAATAGTGGCTTTGAAACACTTTTCTAAGCTGTTGGTTTGCTTTTTACTACTTGTACTTACTCCCTGAGTTTATATTAGATGTTGGCAGAAATTATAACAAAATAGAATGTAATAAACCCATTATATCACAATTGAAGCAGTGCTTATGTACAAAACCTCTGTTAAAATTATATTACCCCATAAAACCAGGTTAATCTGCCACCGTGCTTCACAAATGCAACCCACGCCCACTCCCCTTCGAAAAGTGAGTCTCATCTTTTAGGATTAGTCTTATACTTCCCCTCCTAACAAAATCCCAGTCATCAGCCAGGCAAACCCAGCTGACAGACCCTCTGAAGAACAATGTAAATACATATGTGGCTATTGCCACAGGCTATTGCCTATGCAACCCCCAGTCTGCATGTCCTCTACTAAAAAATATTAAGTGTGCTCTTGTGTCGTTTAGTGCATCGTGAGCCACTGGCCCACGTTTTAGTAACTTGTCAAGTATAACGTAGAAGTTAGAGGCAACCTTCCAGAAAATGTTGGTTATCATTAGAAACACAGTTGCACATGTGGAACAGCATCTTCCCATGAAATCTCACCTGGACACACAGGACAACACATTCCCAAGAGTTTGGAAGGGTTTTTGCAATGAACAACACACTGTACCTCTGACTCAACTACCACTCCTTCCTGGAAAAGAAGCAGATCAGACATGTTCATTGTTAGCATTGTGGTTGCTATAACAAGCAAAAATCCACAATTACTACCAGTACAATTAAAGCATGGCATATGCTGCAGAGCACTGGATTTCAAAACTTCTTTTCTTCCTGTACCTGGTGCCTGGTATCAGGATTCAGGTTAATCCACAGTCAAAAGATCCACTTGAGTCTCCCTGACTCCAGACACAGGATTTGCCTTAAAATGCATCAGGTAAGAAACCAAGCACCTTCTTAGGACAAAGAATCCTGCTTTATCAGGAATCCTTAGCCTCAGTAATCTGCCACACAGCTCTGGTGAAAACAGGCCAGACACAAGGCATTCTCATCCCTCTCCCCTTGGAGGAAAAAAGACTTAGAAAGCAGATAAAAGCATCTTGTTCTGTAGAGGGGAGACGCTTATCTTTGATGCTTCAGCTGATAAGTATTAGTAAATTAACATTTCCTGTACGTCTTGTTCAAGAAATCAAGAGTCCTCCTGAACAAATCTGGGTGTGAGGATTTGTGTACAAAAGGCTGCTGCTTTTTTTGCTGCTTGCAACTTTGCAGTTGGAGGCAAGGGAAACCTGTTTTTTAAATGTGTGGGTCTAGTTTTGCATTTAGACACTGAAACAGGCAATAAAGAATTACTCATTTCATTTAGCTAGTAGTGATCAGAGTATCTAAATTCTATCTACGAATATCTTTTCATGAAGTGCAAGGATACAGAATACTGCTGATCCAACTTAATTCTTCCCAGTGCACTTGTCTTTAAAAACATGGGTGCGTTTTGTAGAGTGGAAGTACCACAGAAAAAAGAGAAAAATCTTGAAACCCTTTTCTCCTATTTGTAGAAGCTCTTCATACTTATTCATCTCTCTTCTTTCCAACAGTGGCAATTCTTAGTAGCTGCCTGAGTGTTATTAAACCTGGATCAAATTATCAGCAAAAATTGCAGATCTATTCACAGACAGAAACTAAAATGACGTAACTACTTGTTTTGTGCCTGAAAATGGACAATCTTGCAAATGTTATGGTTGCAGATAGATAATCTACTAAAAATACCACTGTGTTAACAGCACAGGAGCCCAGGAAAAGAAGATTTGGTTTCTCTTAAAGAACATCCCAGGTAAAACCCATGAACACATACACACAAAAGTGTCCAATTACTAAAATAATAATTTGTATCTCAGAAAAGGCTTAGCATGCTGAAAAATGAGGACTTATTTCAAGGTCAAGACAGCAGGGCTTCATATCTCTCCTTCAGCAGCGTTTGGGTACTCAAGTCGTATTAAACCTATCCTTCTGAATGTTTGGTTATAGCTGGCCATATCTGAGTAGATTTAAACTATTTTAAACACAAATTCCTTATTGTGCTTTGGGTATAAAATATTTCAGGTTTTTTGGATTGGATAAAAAAGGCTCGGAATTTCATGGGAAAAGCTCATGACTCAATTACAACGATGCTGATGACATCCTTACCTGGCACTGGTATGTCACACAGGGATTGCTAGGGAGGTGCCATTTCATAGAGCTGTTGTACGTATTTCCTGCGAAACTGCAATCTGGAGGAAGAGACAGAAGCATGTCAGTTAGGCTGAAAGCAATCATCCTGTGGGAGGCTGCTGATGAGGATCACAGAGCAGCATCCTAAATGCAATCCATCCTCTCTGCTGGATTAACAGAAGTAGAGCTGAGAGCTGGGACTGACAAGAGGGATCATGGCCTGGGAGGGCTGGAAGCAACCTCTGCCTCAGATCTCTGCTCCTGGTGCATGACTGGCTGAACTCCTTATAAAATATGACCGTTCAAGACAAACCAAAATCAGTGACAATTTACCTAAAAATGGATGTCAGTGGCTATTCTGCTGTTCATTCAGGAGCTGCTGAGCCACCCATGCACTGGAGCGGGGGCAGAGGGAGGAGAGAGGCTAAGAGCTGGAAATGTTCATCATCCAGTCCGGCTGTGCTATCCTCATCCATTAACCAAAACCCCTGGGAGAGCTCTTCAGCCAGCACAGCTCAGCATGGATGCACTGACATTGGCAGAGCTACCCTTTCTTTATACTTTTTTCACTTTCATGACAGAAGGGATCAACATCCACATACACTAAAAGCCATCAGGCTCTTCTCTGTGGGTGGTGAAACTCTGAGTGAGGACATTTTGGAGTCCCACAGGGTTTGGCTTTATATGGCTTTGTGTGTTATATGACAACTTTGTTAACAGAAAATAGGTTGGTTTGCCTGTGTGCAGGATCAGCAAGCATTTTTTGTGCAAGACAAAGTTTCATTGAGTTGTTTGGAAAAAAAACCATTAATTTTCACATTTTTTATTACATGTTCTTACTAGTTTCCTCCCCACTCTCGCTGTTTTCTGGTACTTTGCAAAAGGGAAAACCAAAAAGGAACACAAAGAAAAGAATAAAATATCTCACCAGAAAAGCAAAACTAGAAAAGATATATTAAGTGGAAATAAAATATTTGTTTTAAAAGAGTCAGTTTATTAATGCAAAATTGTTTCAATTAAAAATTAATTCTTTGGAGAGTTAAAGTGTTTCTGAAAAAAATTTTTTGAAAGCAACACATACCCCATTTTCTTCAGGAAAAATGCCCATTATTTTCCATTTACTGCTCTAAGGGATTTTTCCTAGTCTATTTTATTCAAAATAGGCTTGATCAAAGAGCCCATGAAACCAACAGGAGTCCTGCCAGAGACTTTGAAACACAGACATATACAGAGTCACCAAGCACAAAACTACAATCAGTCAAACGATGCCGACGGCACCATTCTCTTTCCACACCCCACCTCAGTAGCTACTCTAAGTCATTCCCTGCTGTGCAGGGTGCACTGTCCTGAACTGCTTCGGGCTACGTTTTATGCCCTTCGGAAAATAAAGGCAAGTTATCAGCCCTACACCAGCAAACCTTTGAGCCCACTGTACAAGAAAACCTGAGCGTCACAGCTCCAAACTGCTGAGAAACTTAAAATACCCACAGAATCATTTTGTATTCAACCCCAAATTTAAAGAAAACCTGATATACAGAGATCCTTTATAAATGTGTTAACTGCCTCCAGTGAAGATCTTAAACAACAGAAGACTTCTACTTCAGGATCTGCAGTACTCAGGCATTTTTCCAGGCTAAGTACACAGCAACACAGGAGAAATCTGCAGATGCTGTGGCCATTTCACTTACCTGAGCTGAAACAGGTATGTTTTTAAGAAAGTTGATCAGTAGTCTAAGAGCTGACTGCGATAATTTAGTCTTTGATAAATATCGAAAGGTACAAAGTATAAATCTGAATCTCATATTTTTTTGAGTAGCAAAGCCCCTATGAAGCGACTTCGAGTAATAAACAGGTATTCAGATTTTCAGCGTATTAATAAAGTTCTGCGTGAGCTCTCATACATGCAGGCCAACATGTCAAAAGAGGAACGTGAAGCCATATACTCCTCTTATGCATTTTGAAGTCCCATTCTGAAAAACACCAACCTAATCTTGTAGCACAGTCTCACTTACTGCCCATTGCAAACCCTGATAAATAGCAGAGCCCGTTCAACGCATTTTAGTATCCTCAAGTTGCAGAAGTCCAAGCAATGCTGGCATACTGGTCCAGTCTGAGAAAGAGTTTACATGCACCCTGGACACTCAAGATGGAACAAGCTGTGCTGTTAAATATCCATGTATGTTTTTACCAGATGGGTCCAGTGTCTTCAAAGCTGTGCAGAATCAAGGGCCAGGTTGGAAACTAACAACTGCAAAATACCTTGCATATTTGCTCACCAATTATGTTCTTTAATTTAAAATGTTGTCTCTGTAAGAAAGCTAATGACCCTGGGCTAATCTGCATGTACAGATGTGCATATTAAACTGAAATTTTCAGTTCAAGGTTTAGTCTGGTCGAGAAAGCGTGAAGGTGTGTCTGTGCAGTCACCACTGCTCTTGCTTGAACTGCATATCCAAGCCATGATACAAAATCCTTGGCCCTGCAGTACCAGCCATTGTCCCTGTGGAAAGCAGCAAGGGGGTAGCTGAACTCCACCTACCCATAAGCCACTTCTGTCACTGACACGTGGTGCTGGCAGCACTGGGGGATGGCACACCAGAAGTAACTACGGCAGGGAGAGCTTGCAGGTAGCAAAAGAGAAATTTAGAAATGAAGGCCAGGATGGAAAAGTCTGCAGAAGCACTGGAGACACTAAGACTGCTCCCGAGCTTTGGCACAGGCCAGCAGGTTGAATAAGGGAGTCAGACCAGCATTGTGAAAGCACCAACGTGAGGCACGGTGGGAGCTGGATTTCATCAGATGCTCAGGGGAAGAAAGCAGCACAAAGGAAGGGGCAAGTTAGCCAGTAACACAGGCAGGCTTGGCGAGAGCTGGGGAAAGGCTGAAGGTCAGGCAAACCGAAGACAGGGCAAGAAAGGAAGTGTTTTACAATCTCCGAATGAGATTTTAACCTGTCCCTGACCAGAGCTGTGCCCTGACGCTCTGCCCTTTGTACACCCCAGAGCTACAGCCACCTCTCACTCTTCAAAAGCAAAAGGTAACCATGCCCACATACCAGCTAGTTTTTCTGAACCTCACTTTCAATGTACAAATCTCTCAGCTGACACCTGCAAACATATACCCAGACTTTCCTAGCCCACCTATTCATAGCATGGAAGTTTGAGCTTCACCTAAATTCAGCTGAGTTGAAACCCACCTGCCTCCACGTGCGAACTCAGTTGAGCCATTGTAGTTCATCCATGGTTAAAGATCCATCATACTTGGCTTGGAAGGTAGCAGTCACTGAATATCTCATGTCCAAAGGCATCAGCAAAGTCCCTGATGCCAATTTGTACAACTGAGTATTGGTGGAACATACTTCAAGTTCCTGAAAGCCATTTTAATTCACTTTGGAAATAGTATTACGTTAACTTACTGTCTCCATCCACCATTTGAAAGGGAGAGCAGGAGAAAAGAATAAATCAGGAAAGATCAGAGCTTAGCACAACCACTTAAATGCCATCCACTTACTTCTGCCTGAAAACATAGTTAAAATGAAACTTTAAAAGAAAGGGCTGCAGAGGAGGTTTTCAAAAGGGGAACCCAAAAAGCCTGAAAATGTTCTAAGTAGTACATGAAAAGTAACAGATTCGACATTAATAGGTAAATTTGATCCCATGACATATAGCCCATAAGGAAAACCTTTAGGATTCCACATACAGAAGGAAGTTAAATACCAACGGTCTAGAACAATTTTAATGGAGCTAAAGTGATTCATATCAGTCAAGGAGCGTGTCCTAATTTTTTAGTCTTTCCTCCATCTTTCTTTAAGAATAGCTGGTGTTTTATTAATGTAAAATATTAACTTTCGGTTAGTTGTAGGTTTTGTTCCTATTACGTACTTCAACCCAAACAGTTCAGATAAGTCCTGAATAAACATGCGAGCTGAAAGTTCCTTATCTGAATCAAACCAAACCACTGAATACTTTGAAGTTGGTCAATTGTTGTATATGCAGTGGAAACTGCTGATTACCTTCTAGTCACCTCACAGAATGATCCTCTAGACTTGAGTCATTCCTGCACAAAAAATGACGATAAAATAGTTAAATCACTTCTAATTTACTAAACTAGGTACTTTGTTTCAATGTTGCGCATGCCTTACTTGAGCACCTTACTTTCAAACATAATAAACCAACCTTTGGCTGATTTCATTTGAAAGAGAGCAATTTAATTCCAAAACAAGCATCCTCACACAGAATTGGACTGGAATAACAAAAGAGGCAAATTATAGCAGATTTTGTTATTGGCATGTGGACAAGTTGACAATCAGGAAGCCGTTTGTCTTTCCAAATCCAGTAACATTGTTAAATGACCTTTTTTTTTCTTCTCCAGGCACCCCAGCACAGAGCAGTATCATGAAGATAGGGAAATTGACTGTAAGAGACAGTTTAGTAGTGCTAAAGCTCAACCAGTGTCCTCAGGAGTTCATTAAAAACAAGCCTTTATTACTCAATTTGACATTGCCTAATGAGATTCCAGAAGATATTTTTGCTTCTTTTAGGCTAATGAGAATTTTATAGACAAGTCATTTCCGTATTCTCCCAAGAGAAAGTGATAGATTGGTGCACAATAGACTGGCTCCTCATCCCTCATTTCTTCAGCATCTTTCTTCTCCTATTAAGTCTTTTTCTTGCTTTCCCTCCACTTTCTATTTAAAAAAGTAACCTCTCTATTGGCATGGAAAATAAACATTAGGAAAAAGAAAACAGTCAGAAGACATGTTTTATTTAGTGTTTGATAAATTAATCCTCAGGGAGGCGTCCAGGCATGCTAACACTAAATACCAGTTCTAGCCAAAAAAAAAAAAAAAACCAAAAAAAAAAACCAAAAAACCAACCCCCCCCAAAAAAACCAAACAATAACTTGCACATTCTGCAGTATTTCCCTGGCATGAAATCTGTTGGCCAAAATAACAGAACCGTGAATCACACATATACCTGTTATAAACTATATTTTCAGATGTCTTAATGATCATAAAGCCATTGGCAGCAACTAGAAGATTGAACTTCCTATTGAGTAA